AGAGCAGTAATTGTGAGGCCCAGTTTAATTTTATTTCATTTTGATTGCATTTGTGTGTGCTGTGTGTGAGAGAGAGGAAAGCCCGGTGGAAGTTTCCTGGGTGCCGGCCCCGATGGGTAGAGCAGCAGCCACTGCAGATTGGGTATTTCTCTTTTCCTTGCCTCAGCCGTGACTCGCTGCAGCTTGAGGCACTGCAGTTATCCTTCCTGAGCCCATCTGCACAGGGATTCCCGTCTGAAAAATAAGCCTAGCAGCACTGGCTCAGAGCGATGCTGGGAGGGAACGATAAAGAATCGGAGCAGGGCTTCTGTCCTGTTCACATTTACAGATGCTCGCCTCATTTTTCTACCTGTAAGTGACGCCCGAGGTGTCCCCCTCTATCAAGCACTACCGAAAGCCTCGTACATTTGAGAATCCCGTCAGCGCTCCTCAAACTGCAGGCAGCTGGATGTGTAAATCGCTGCTAGCGATACCTGCACGCAGAGAGAGGGCGACAGGGGAAGGAGGCCCTGTGAAATAGCAATTATTTTTGCGTGCCCGCAGCCAGCAGCAGCCCTATTCCCGTGCCAGGCTCCCCAGCCCCGGCAGGGCTGCGGGCTGAGGGGCGCTGAGGGGAGCTGAGGGGAGGAGGCGGCGGCGCCATTTGCTCGCCGGGCGCCGCGGGGCCTTGAGGGCAGCCCCGGGCTGGGGCCGGGCGGGCTGCGGGCTCCACCTGCCGGCCGAGCCGCCACAGCGGAGGGCAGCGCCTGGCCGGGCCGGGCCGGGTGTCTCCTCAAGCCCTGTCCCAGGGGCTGTCTGGGTGCCGGGCACCCCGCCGGGCTGTCCCGGAGCCCTGCAGCCTGCCCAGAGCCGCCCTCTCCTCACGGAGCACCCGGCTTGGCGGGCGCTGCTCACACGCCCCGCTTGGCGCAGAACCAGGCAGATAAACCCGGGCCAGCATTTCAGGTCAGAACCAGGCTCTGAGGAGGTTTATTTAGGGTGTGTTTGGCTTAGATAGATAAAGACGAGACAAGAATATCACTCGTGGGTTGTCAGTATCATCGCATTTTATTTGCTTTTTTTATTCCTGATTTCAGCAGTGTCAGTGCAAGCCCTGAGGTACTTCTAAAAATTTAAAGGAATAAATAAGTTTTATTCTTTAACAGATGTTTACTAAATAACAACTCCTCAAAATTTACTAAGCGGACTGAAGTGATATCCGTGTTTGCTCCTCATGCAGTACCTCTCGAGGACAGATGAGGCTGCTCTGCAATTATTTCTTTTATTTTGGGGAAGTGATGATAAGGGGGCAGTGACCTCCTTGCTAAATATTTCCTGAGGACTCTCACAAGCTCTGTCTCCGACCCAGTGGTTTGTTAGGCTGCCTTCCCTGTTGTTCAGCCTAGAGAAGAGGAGGCTCAGGGGTGACCTTATTGCTCTGTATAAGTACATTAAAGGAGGCTGTAGAGAGGTGGGGGTTGGCCTGTTCTCCCATGTGCCTGGTGACAGGACGAGGGGGAATGGGCTAAAGTTATGCCAGGGGAGTTTTAGGTTGGATGTTAGGAAGAACTTCTTTACCGAAAGGGTTGTTAGGCACTGGAACGGGCTGCCCAGGGAGGTGGTGGAGTCACCATCCCTGGAAGTCTTCAAAAGACGTTTAGATGTAGAGCTTAGGGATATGGTTTAGTGGGGACTGTTAGTGTTAGGTCAGAGGTTGGACTCGATGATCTTGAGGTCTCTTCCAACCTAGAAATTCCGTGATTCTGTGATTCTGTGAGGTGTGGGTGAGGGTCTGGGGAAGAGCAGCATGCAACCCAAGGGGCCTCTGCTGCCCTGTGTTTGTAGAGGCTCCTGGTAGAGGGCATCGCTCGGAAAGCTTGATTACATGAACGAAGAGCACTCAGCATACTACAGGGAACCATGCCTACTCCCATGGAAGTAGTTTCATTATTTGAGCATCTTGTGTTATGTTACCGGCCATGAAATCCTGGAAGGCAGCATTAACCTCAGGGTCTGTCCTCTCAGCCTCGACAGGGCAGTGCTTTGCAAACCTTTCTTTCTGTTGCAGCCCTTGTGTAGTTTCCCTGGCTTGTTTCCTTCCAGACTGTAAAGTGGAATAACGTGGGACTGTTTCCCCTGCCTTTACTTGGGGTACCTCTAGGTCGTGCTGCAGGTGGCCACCACTTTTCCAGCCCGACAGCAGCACTCCGTACCAGCGCCTCTGTGTTCAGCACCGGCTGCCACTTTGCTGCCATGGGCATGTCCAGATGTTGGTTTCTGTTTCTAAGGCACTGGATGGCCTGGACGCCAGCTGCCTCAAGGACTGTCTCTTTCCCCTTCTTCTGCCAAAATGTTTTTGCCTGTTGGAGATGCTTTTGCTGTTTTTACTATAACATCAAGCTTGTAGCTTTGAGGGTAGAACACCAACAGCTGAAATCCCTTGCCACACAACTGACTCGCAAGTTTTTAGTCTGGCCTTAATCTTCATAAGCAAATTCTTATTTAGGCTGCTTTACAATTTAATGCCATCATCAGATTTTTAGCTAATAATTTCCCAGAGGCAAAAAATAAATGGTAACAAAGCATATCCCTGAAGTAGGTTTTGGGTACAAAAGCCTGAGCCTGAGCATGTCTGTGTCTGTTCAGTGAGGAGATGAAAAGAACAGAATCAGCTTTAAGGATCAAAAACGTATCTCCATGTTCTACACATATCACTTGGTATGGGACGATGGTATGCAACGTCATGAAGAAGAGCACATCTGACACCATCTGTCGGTGAGCATTACCACAAGGAAAATCACTATCTCCAGACAGAGATGTTTTGTACCCTTATAAATCAAAAAGAAAATCAGGTAGTTCAGTGCAAGGCATTGTCCTGAGAAAGAGCATTTAGTTGCAGCAGACCAAAATGTTTTTTCCTCCAAGGGAGCATATTGAATGAGCTATATTATTCTCTAGACAATGGACAAAAACATTCTTTATTATGAAAACTTAATGCTCTTTCATAAGCATTAATAATGGCAGGGGTATGTGGGTGGGAGAACAGGTGGGTAGAAATTATAGATGGAAAAGCAGAATGGGATAGCTATGGAGCTGTAATGTTTTATGAAATATTTCTCCATATGATACTTCTTTCCTTCAGAACATTTTTATAAAAGAGAAATGCTTTACATTTCCTGCAGTCCTCAGGTTTTTACTTCATTGTTTATTTATTTATTTAAGTGTAGGGCTACTGAAGGGCAATGGGAAGATGATGGTTGAGGAAAGCCTTAGTTTTTCCAGCTGATGTATAGTACTAACAGCAATGGAAATTTCCTTGTGCTCTGGGCCAGTCTTAGGCGCAGAACACTATTCCTTTCCAGGTCTCATTTGTTCTTCAGCATCTCTCCCAAGCCTGCTGAGATGGGACAAACTTGCTTGCTCTTCTGGTGTGTGTTCCCATGCTTTAGAAATTGGATGTTTTTCCCTCTTTACCTTCTTTGCAGGGCACAGAGCGATAATAGCAGCAGTGGTCACTGCATGCCTGGATGGACTCACCTGAGCTCCTGGGGTGGGCTCCAGGTCAGAGCACCAGCAATCCTTCCATCTTAGGTTTGCTTGGAAAATTCCATCATATCTGATTCCTAGGTTGCAGCAACCAAATATCTCAACTCTCAGTTTAACACTTTTCAGTAAATTCATTAAAAAATATTACTAGTCCTTCCATTGTGAATTATAAGTAATGACTTTTTATTTTTATTATTATTTCAATGCCTTTGCTTCACTACTGCTATTACAAGCCATCTTAGAGATAGGGGTAAAAGTTTAATACCATCCCACTAGTGAGACCTACCAGGGAGAATTTCCATTCAGGGTCCAGAAAACTTTATTAACACTGAATCAACACAGTTCTGCTTTCCACGGTGTGTACAGAAACACTCTCCTGAGGTGTTCAATTGCATTTTGATTGAAACTTGTGTTTGTAGTTATACACATTTCTTTTCATGTCTGAAAATAAAATGCAACGAGCATTGAAACATTGCTATGTGGATCTCACCAGCTAGTTCCGTTCTAATTTAAAGAAATAAGCTATTTTAAAGAATAATGATAAAAAAATAACTGGCTCAAGAAAGGATGTTTGCATCCCTATTATTCAGAATCAGTAAGCACAATTAAAATCCTCAGTGGCCCTTCCAGTTAGAAAGTTGTGGATATTTCTGTCACTTAAATGGAAAAAAAAATCTGATAATTAAACTGTTAGAGAGAGCTGTATTCAGCAGGGCATGAGTGATTCCTGTAGGTTCTCGCTAGTGGGCTCCCCTTTCCTTGTCACCTCCAACTATATGCTGGAGGCATTAGATCTGTATTTGTTTATGTAACAGGGATAACATGAGAAGTGGTCTATTGATTTCATTGACTGGAAACATGTAACCAGCACACACACACACACACACAAAAAAAAAAAAAAAAAAAAAGAGAGAGAGAGAGAGAGAGAAGTTAGAATAGATACCAGACAGCTGCTCAGAGGCTTTTACAGCCAGATAAAGAGTTAAGACCTGAGAAGTCATTTGAAAGAGGTAAGTGTATCAGCTGGATAAATGCTTTTGTCCCTCTACACTTACAAGTTCAAGTGTAATGCTTGACAATTACACAGGGGCATGTGAAAAAAGAGGGTCTTAGAGGAAGCTCTGGCTGGGCAATTTGCATGGGTCCATAAAGAAAGACAGAGAACAGCAGAGCATAAGGAGTCCCTGCCTGCACATCTAGAGGGGAAAATGCTGCAATCTGAATTAATTTTCATTAAAAAGGTGTGTGAAACAGCAGGAGGACAAGCCTAAGCTCTCTGCAGATGGAGAGGGCAGTGATGGGAAAGCATCATCAGGGCGACCCTGTGCTGCAAATGCTCTTTATAAAGAAAAAGCAAATACGTTTACCTGTCAGCTGTGTGTGTGTGTGGGGTGGGGGGCATTTTATTGTAGGCTATGTGTGACAGCTAGTCTGTATGGATGCTTATGGCCTTGGGGATTTGTTTTTGTTTTTAGCACCTGAAAACCCTTGATAAATACTGGAAAATCCAACAACAACAAAAGCAACAACAACAACAAAAACAACAGAAGGACCTTTTCCCTTCTCAAAAAGGTCAGTCCATTAGCCACAAAAACAACAGATGTTGAAAGGAAGTAATTTTAACTGTAAGATTAAAATTGGCAGCGGGGGAAGATGAGTTGCCAAAATGTGTCTTTGTTTTGCTGTTTCTGAAAGCCTCGGTTCCTCCTAATGGAAGACTTCCATGTTTGGCCCCTGTACAGATATGCTTGTGTTACATCGGAGCTGCTGTGGCGCAATCAGAAGGCTCTGGCTGAAAAAGGGCCGAGAAGCACCTCCGGAGCTGTCAGCCCGTGGCAGGCTCTGCACTGCCTTGAGCACGAAGGGCACCAGAAGTGGGGCTTTTGAGGTAGGTCAGTGAAGGCTGCAGTCACTCAGCCAGGTGAGAGTAGTTGCCCCACAGGAAGAAGCGATGGGGGTTTGGTTTCTGGGACTGCCGAAATCCGGCTGTTGTGTTGGCTCGTGAGCGCCTCAGTCCCAACGTAGCAGCAGCTGCCCTGGCTTTTGTTGAGGAGTTTCATTTTGGTTCTGCTGTGGTGTAGTTGCTGTAGGATTGAAGGTGCAGTGCAGAATCCCCTGTACTGTGCCCAGTTTAAGAAAAACAGATTAATTCAGGAGGGAGCTGCAGAAATCGGCAGAATTTGGAGGGGAATAGGAGAGCAGACATGATTTCCCAGAGTGTATAGGATAGTTCAGAAATGCCATTATTACTTGGTAATAAGTTGTATGGAATCCCCTGTAATTGTTACACATCAGTAAGAATAAGTAAGAAGCATTTTGTATATGCAGTGGTCAGAGGAGAATAATCGAAATGTTAATTCAAAACATACGCTATTCTCATGCATTGATTTTTAAATTCATGTTATCCACTAATTAGTTAATGCCTGTAGAGTGCTTTTAAGATAGAAAATGCTTAAATTGCTATGCACTATTGTTACTATCATTATCTACTAGGTTTAATTAGTTCTTGTACATTTTAATTGGATTATTGAGATGTAAAGTGGAGAATATGATTTGGGACCAAACGCCATCCTCAGCACCGCGGTGAAACGAACAGCCGCAGTGCCCATACACACAAATAAGAAGAGCAGCTTGTCGACCTGCTTGGGTTGGTAAATGTTCGTGTTTGGCCTGTGTGGGTGGGTGCATCTGATGGCGTCGCTCTGCCTTAAGATTATCCTTGCTGAAGGCCACAGTGGGACACAGCCAGGCTGGCCCAGTGGTGGTGTGTTTGCAGAAGGATGTGTCAGTGCTCAGGAGTGATTTATGGTCCTGGAGGACTAGAAACAAGAAGAATGTGGCACAGAGATGAGGAGATTCTCGATTTCCTGGGGGGAGACCAGAACATTTCTGTCACCCTTTGAAGAAGGGGACTTGGCTTTAAATCAGTAGCATCTTTAACAGTATCGGGTTGTAGTTTATCTTTTTTCTTTCCACATTTGTAACAATGACAAAAGCAGCCGACCTTGTCCTTCAGTCTTGCCTGTGGGTCAGAAGGATCTAGGGAAAATAACTGAGTCTATTCAGCTGTATTTATTTATTTAGAAATAACTACTTTTGAGGGAAGCATCTAAATACTACTGGGAGAAAACCTCAGGGATGTTTTCCTTTCAGTTTGGTCCAAGCACTGCTCCCCAACCAAGATCGGGGACTTTCTGGGTTTGTGTAAATTTGTAGATGGTCTGCTTCTAGAATTTGTTTTGCTTCCAAAACAGTAATTGGGCAGCTGGCAAATCATCCCATCTGTTTGCAGCTAGGCTCTGTGTTCTGCATTTTTTCAGAATATTTTGGCTTCAGTGCTTATAAGACCCCCTGCTTACCAACTCTCCCCCCCCCCAAAAAAAAAAAAAAAAAAAAGTATTACAGTGAAAAAAGGAATAAATTTGCTCTTATGAAATGCATTTATTGAAGTTAAATCAGCTGGGGTTTTCTGATGCGTGGTTGACTTGCAAAACTCTCTAACATCTTTACATTTTTGGTATTGGAAGGAAATTCTTACCACTTGGACTACTGAAACTGGAAGGGGATTCCAGGTGACACAAGAAAAAAGTCAGTGGTGTGAGGGTTGTTGAGGGACAGTTTAGTAATTGAGTAGAGTACTGAGTACTGATCCAGTACTTGTTGCCAGTAATGGAAAAGTCACCTACTGAAGCCAGTAAGTTTTAGGACAAGCTGAGACATCTAACATCTGTGTTTCCATAGCACTGAGTTCCCAATTTAAAATAATAATTAAAGAAAAAAAATCAAAAACAAACAAAAAAAAACACAAACACACCAAAAACCTGAGGTCTGTTCTCTATTTTAACCAAAAGTTCCTGTTACTCAGTTCTGGGGTCTTCTCTAATGGCATCTTATCCCAGTTCTTCAAACTTTGTAGGATCAAATCCAGTTGTCCCAATCTTCAGATATTAGGAGTATTTATTATTTTTTTAAAACCTTTGATGAATGTTTGCTATGTCAGCCTAGGAAATGAAGTTTCTGGATTAGCTCCTCTTTTATTTCACATGGTGCTGCAGTTACAAGAATTCCCTATGCAGTGATCTTGCTTTGTGTGCATTATTTATTTAATGTTACAAACAGAAAATACTCTGAAGTACTCCCCTCAAGAACCCTTTTTTTTTTTCTTTGGCCTGTAATTTTCCTTGTCAGAAGCAATGGTTTGTAGTGCAGCCTATGAGTTTATCTTCAGAAGCACTTGCCCTTGGCGATTGTCATACGTCAGCTGTGACAAAATGTACAGCAGTTGGATTCTCCTTCCATTCTGCTCCCTGTTTTTTCCATGTGTTGCAGTGTATCTTATCCCTAATTGCTGGCAATTGCCTGAGGTTGGCAATATTTTGCTGGCAGTTCTGAAGCAACAGTTTGCACTCTACTTAAGCTAAATATTGTTTCTCAGAATCTCTTCCAAATTGTCCCCTTCTCTGTTTTACCTCTGCTGCATTCAGTTTAACACTTCTGCCTGGGTTGTTGTGCCTGTGGCTGCTCAAACCATACACAGCGATTTTCTCTACCAATGAGTTTCTGCTTTACTAAGGACAAAGCACAAAACCAAGCAAACAAATGAAACAAAACAAAAAAGCCACAACAAATAAACAAGCAAACCTCACTTCAGTGCACTCCAGTTATCTCACCAGCACTTTGCGGAATCCCTGCCTATCCCGAGTTGATTAAATAATAACTAAAAGTAGATTAGAAATCCTGATTTGGGTCCTTTCTTTTTGCTTTTACTGTTAACAAGCTAAAAGAACAAAATCTCCAATAATGCTTAGATCATTGCAACACTGTGTTGTGTAAAACGTTATGGTAGGGCATGTAATGTTAAGCTAGCACTAGATAGAGCAGTTCACTTAGCTAATATATTGAGCACAGCTTAATTGAATATTTAATGGTTTATCTCACTGAGAGGAATCAGCAGAATAACTAAAGAGTTTGTGCGTGGAGAAGAAAGCTGCAGAGGAAGGTGATCTGTGAGGATCACTGTTCAATAACCTTGTGAGCAGCATTTCCAATTCCCAAATAACTTTCTCCCAAGTGTGGTACCATGTGCATTAATAGATATATATATAAATATATAAAAAGAGATATATATGTCTTTATGTGTCTGTGCTTCAGCAGCTACTTCCCTTCAGTAAAGAATTTCCAAGTATTACTGCATGAGCTGACGGTCAATACAAAACTCTGTACTTACTGTATGTGGAACTGACAATAGTGTTAGAAGCTGATACAGCCTCTGAGCCCACTTACAGGATCAGAACAGGCCGTGGAGTGCAGGCATGGGTAGCACTTTAGTTCTGGCTTAGGCTTGCAACTTCACCTGGCATTGTGATAACTTCCCTGAGATATCATTAACTTCTTCCTTCTCCAGTATTTTTTCATGTTTTTCTCATCAAAAAATCATCTGTGAAATCTTTTTTTTTTTTTTTTCAGAAAACATTTTTGGAAAAATGGTGTTGGCTTCCCTCTGGTGCTTCCACTGGATGGAGTGAGAACCAACCCATTTCATTTTCTGAATATGCTCAAAGAGCTCTGCATGCTGGCTCCTTCGTCCATATTATGATGTTGGACCAGATCACTGAAGAATTGCCAGTGAACCAGAGACTGAGGGCTTGATCAGATGCATGATACATTTTTTTTTTAAAGTTATAGTAATTTTTAAACTGATGTAGTAACAGAGGGAGTGTATTCCGTAAGAAGTATCACTTTCTGTAAGATAAGCTCTGAATACTTCACTTTGTAGGAATCCAAACATTGAAGGTCGGTAGTTTTGTTGTTGTTTTAATTTAAAAAGGGATAGAAAAAAATGTATGTTGTAAATGCTTGGCATTAAGCATAAGTCCTGTTATGTTAGCCTCTTAAATGAAGAGGCCAGAAGATAACCAGCTTCATTCCTGAAGGGTCTGTGCCAGCATTTGCCACTTCCACAGGGCTCTGAAGCAGAGGAATATTCTGTAGGCCTCGTGCCTTCTCTTGCTTCCCACCACACAGTTGTTTAGTTTACTTCCATCAGCATTAGTGGAAAGAAGGATCTGGCCCCTGATTAACTCACTAATCAAATATGACCACAAAACGAAGTCCAGTGTTACCCAAATGATGGACAGAAGTACAATTAAAACAACCCCCCAGATGCTCTGGTTATGGATCTGTTTTGGATCCCAGCCAGAACAAACTGTTAGCTGTGTGGAAGAGTTGCCAAGCTCTTCATGATAAAACCAACCCCATAAATGATTGTAATTATTTCATTCTAACATCTTTGGATGTCTTATTGCGTCAGGTACGTGTTCTGCTGGGTTGGAAAGGTGCCTGTTTCTGCAGTTCATTTTGTTCCTAAGGGTCAGTCATCCAACCACTTGTTTAACCTTGAGCAAATTGTGGTGTGTGTCCGTTTACATGCTCCTCACTGTAGTGAACAAACATGTTTAGGAGTATTGCCCAATACTTTCAAAAGCAATTTCCAAGTCAATTTGAGCAGCAGAAGCTTTTCCTAGCACCCCCGTGATTAATCCCTGATCTGGGGACCTCAGATTTGTCCTGTATCCATCTGATCCAGGTACTGCGAGCCATGTGAGCCAGTCATGATATTTTAGCAGTTGGTTTTGTTTTTCATTTGACTCATGAAGCTGATGAGGCTCACCCCACGCCTGTGTGATCACTAGATCATGAGAGGTGTGGAGGTGGTTGTAGGAGGAAGTACAGAGCAAACTTTTTTTTCTTGAAATTTTGAAAAGTTTCTAAATTTTGAAAAAAGATAATTTCTTATGAAACAAAGTGGTTTTTTTCTTTTTCTTTTTTTTTTTTTTTAGAGAATAAATAGAAGCTATTTAGATAAATATGTAATTAAAGGGTTTAAAGCAGAGACTTTTCCCTCTCCAGATTGCCAGTTTGAATTCTTTTTTTTTTCTTCTAGATTTCTTCTACATTTTCTTAGTCGTAATCCATGGATGTTTTTCTCTCTCAAAAACATTCTTGGGATAAGAAAACCGCATGTTGCCTACTTTACAAAAATGCTGATAGTGGCACTGAAAACTATATTTGTGGAGTTGTTTGGCACCTAAGCGTCGCAATAAAGCTGAAACATCAGCCAGAAGATTTAAGAATTGCGCCGTATGCCCTCATGTAGCCAGCCTTGTCCGAGAGGTTTGCAGTCTCTGCTGTTTCCACTCATTTTTAGTTTCTGTGGCTGTACTGGAGCGTCGGCTGTGCTGTGCTGCTGGGTTGGTGGCCGGTGTTGTTTGGGAGCACGTTCGCAGAGGAAAGCCTGGCAGAGCCGAGAATGGTGGGAGGCTGCCGAAAAGCCATGAGCACGTGGGCACAAGGGCTTTGGAAATCCCACGAATATTTGAGTTGCTTCCCCTTGCACACAGTGCGCTGTATTTAATCTCATTTAAAGCTGGGAAGGACGCTGCCCATCTATTGCTGCGGGTTTATCGGAAGCTGCAGCATGAATAAACCATGGCCAAGCAGCGGGGGTAAGCCAGAGGAGGTGAGCGTAGCTCAGACACCTGGATGGTGCCGCAGCCCCGGGCTCCCTGAGCGTGCGGCGCGGGGCCGCCAGGGGGCGCCCTCGGGCCGCAGGGACAGCGCCGGGCCTGGCCCCGCCCCCGCCCCGCCCCCGGCCGTGGCCACGCCCCCGCTCCGCCCGCGCGGCCCGCACGTGGCGGCGCGCCCCGCTGAAAAGCCGGCGGCCGTGGCGCGCCCGCACGAGCCGTGCCGCGCCGAGCAGAGCCGGGCCATGCCGGGCTGAACCGAGCCGTGCTGGGCTGAACCGAGCCGTACCGAGCTGTGCTGGGCTGAACTAAGCCGAACCGAGCCGTGCCGGCACCGTGCGCTTGGGGACAGAGCCGAGCTTGCGTGGTTCCTGCTCTTTTTTCCTTTTTTCTCTTTTTCTTTCCCCTCTTTTTCCCCCTTTTCCTTCCCCGCCCGGAGAATTTCCCCGCCCGGCTCCCCCCCCGCCTTCTCGTCCTCCTTTCCGCCGGGCTCCGCTGCCCGCGCCCCGACGGGCCCCCCCCGCGAGCCCCGGCCGCCCCCCTCCTTGGGGTGCCCCCCGGCCGCCGCCATGGCCAAAGTGGCGGCGGAGAGCGGCGGGGCGGCGGCGGCCGAGGACCTGTCCAAGGTGTCGGACGAGGAGCTGCTCAAGTGGAGCAAGGAGGAGCTGATCCGCAGCCTGCGCCGCGCCGAGGCCGAGAAGATGAGCGCGATGCTGGACCACAGCAACCTCATCCGCGAGGTGAACCGCCGCCTGCAGCTGCACCTGGGCGAGATCCGCGGCCTCAAGGTACCTCCCGGGCCGAGCCGGGCTGAGCCGTGCCCCCGTAGCTGAGCCGAGTTAAGCGGCGCCGCCGGCTGCGTGCAGAGCCGCTGGCATCCCAAAGCCTTTGCTTGGGTTGCACAGCTTGCTGGCGCTGTTTTAGGGTGGCTTACTGAACTCAGAGAGCCGGCCGTGTCCAGGATGTGGGGCACACAGGTGGTGGGAAACCCAGGGGCTTGGCTGGGGGGGACAAGAAGCAGTCCCCGGTTTGCAGGGTGAGGACATCTGATGGTAACGCATCTCCGATCGTGCCACCCTCAGTGGCATCTTCTGCGGGCTATGCCAAGAGGCAGACCAAGTCTGTAACGATTTAGCCTGCTTGATTTAACTCTCTGCTTGAGTGAGGATCATAGTCCCTAATGTTTCCTTCTCTGCTTCCCATGGCTGGGGAGAGAGTGTGACTGCTGACAGGTAATTACCCTGCTGTAGCACGTACAGGTGCATTACACACCCAGAGAGTTAGCTGAAGGCAGGCATGACTGCAAACACCTTCTGTCTTGCTGCTTTGAGAAATGAGATGGTTTTCAGAAATTCCTTTGAGGTGAAGTTGGAGGGAAGGGGAGAAGACCCAGAGGCAGTGTGGGCTTTTGCATTTTTATGTGAGAGTATCTTGATCTGCAGAGTGGCTGTAGACAAGTAAATTATGGAGAAAGCATCCTCGATAGTAGCATGACGTCAGATAAATAGCATGTGGGGGAAGACTGTTCCTGTCTCCCAGGTTTTCCCCTTCTGCAAAGTGCGAGGGAGTCTGTGTGAGTCCCCTCTGCCTACTGAGAATACGTGGTGTCTGGGGGTGAGACCTGTCAGTGACAGCAAGTCGGTAAAAACAGATCTTGTGTTTTAAAAGCAAGTTAAATGCAACAACAGTGTCTTTCTCCCAGCTCTGTGTGAAGGTGTTGTGCCATTGTATGGATTTATTTATCTGCTGGATAAATAACAGGACACACCAAGATGTGTAGGAAGGAGTGACAAATTCTTCTCTCCATGCTCAACTTCCTAAGTGGTGTTTAACTTCCTCCATTTGTTCAGCTGCCTCAGCTGGAACTTCTGAAAGGAATTTGGGAAAACAAGGCTTTAAGCCCTCCTTTGTCCCACGTGAAAGACTGGGGCTGTGAGGAGCGGTGACCAGCGATGCCTGCTCTCAGTGCCCCCTGCTTCTGCCTGCTGAATCGAGGGTTTCCACACAAACTCTTCTATTCTACCATGGGATCATTTTAAGTACTTCTCTCCAGCATGGATTTGCTGAGGCTACCTTGTAGCCTCGTTGAGATTTCTCCTCTGTTGAATCTGGGTTTAAATCATTCAAATTCCAAGTTGTTCTGAGAGGGTCAAATGCACACGCATCTGGTGGTGCTGCAGAAGCTTCATTTTCTGAAGAAACTGTGCTAAAACGGGCTTTTCAGAAGGCTAGATTTTTGACAGTTGTGGCTAGTCTCTACTTGTAATATTGTACATAAGGAGGGATGAACCTGTAGATGAGAGAAAAATAAATACGGTCACAAGCCAGTTTCCTAGAACCAGGAACGTGAAATAGTGAAAATATTTTCTTTGGCATGTTATTCTGCTTATAGTAATAGCTTGAACGTTTTTGCTTCAGATGGATCCTCGCTTAGAGAAGGGTGTGGAATCACGCTCTTTGTTTTATTAGCAGTGAAAAATCTGTTAAAGCAGATGAGTTATTTCAGAGTGGTTGAAGCGAGGCTGGTAAAGTGGTGATTGACAAGGTTCTCTTACGGAAATCTGAAGTGAAATCAAACAAAACCCAAATATCTTAAGTCTCTAAAATGCTTTTTAATGTGAATATGCTTTAGGGAGTAGGGACTGTAAATGTTAATAATCGAGATTACAATTTCTGATGTACTTCACGGTCTTACTCAGCAGTAACTTGCATGTGAATATTTCTCAAGGGAATGAGATCCTCATGAGAGAGCTTATGATCATTGCCCAATTTGGGACCTAAATTATTCTGATATTTAGGATGAACATGAATTAAGCACACACAAATTTTATGCTGTATCAGAAGTTAGTCTTTGAATCCATCAGGGTTAGCTCCATGCTATATTCACTTTTTTACTGGGCAGCAGCTTTGTTTGAAGCATGATGTTATATGCCAGATCTACGCAATTATTTATGCCTTGCTTGCGTGCTTAGATGTTGGGCTTATGGCACTGGCTTGTATAATATGATGGTATAACATTGATTCTTTTGGACACTTCCCTGTCATGAGTCTCTTTCTTTTAAAGGATATCAATCAGAAGCTGCAGGAAGATAACCAAGAACTGAGAGACCTTTGCTGCTTTCTGGATGATGACAGGCAGAAAGGCAAGAAGGTGTCCCGTGAGTGGCAGAGACTGGGCAGATACAGCGCGAGCGTTATGCACAAAGAGGTTGCCTTATACTTACAGAAGCTGAAGGAATTGGAGGTGAGACAAGAAGAAGTGGTTAAGGAGAACCTGGAGCTGAAAGAGCTGTGCGTGTTGCTGGATGAGGAGAAGGGCGGTGGGGCAGGCAGCCGGAGCTCTATTGACAGCCAAATCAGCCTGTGCCAGTTAACTGCAACCAGCGCTTACATACGAGATGTCGGTGATGGGAGCAGCACTTCTAGCACGGGAAGTACAGACAGCCCAGATCATCATAAACATCATCCAAGTACTAGTCCAGAACATCTCCAAAAAGCTCGGGGTGAGGGAAGCCCTGAGCATCAGAAGCACAGGAGTATCAGCCCCGAGCACCTCCAGAAGCCGAGGGGTTCTGGCAGTCCTGATCATCACCTGAAAGGACCGAGTCCAGAGCATCACAAAACCATTGTCAAAGCACCTGAGCAACAAAAGCACAGCAGTAGCAGTCCAGAAACTCTCCCAAAGCACGTTTTGAGTAGTAGCCCTGAACACTTTCAAAAGCAGAGGCCTGGTAGCAGCCCTGAGCATCAAAAGCACAGCAGTAGCAGCCCAGATCATCTTCAAAAGCACACGCCGAGTGGAAGTACAGAACATCTCCACAAAGTGAGGGGTACGAGCCCTGAGCATCTCAAACAACACTATGGAGGGAGCCCGGAGCATCTCAAACATCTCAGCGGAGGCAGCAGAGAAGGTACCCTCAGGAGACAAGTAACGGATGACCTCTCCCCTCACCACAGAAGTATATACAACGGAATGAATGGTGGGTCGATAAACTTAGGGAAAATGTGCTCTGAAAACTATTAAGGCAGTTTCTATGGTATTTCAGATGTTAATGGAAAAGGAATATGCATTTTTTTAATGTGGAATGAAAGGCAACAAGTCTGGTGTTAGCATTATTCCTGTAGCAAGTGAATTAATCAGTGTACCCGTTTGCCTGTCCAGTAGCTGTTGGGTGGATTTAAAAAATGGAGAAGTGGATTTTGAGTGTTCGTCTATAAGGTACAGAGAAACAGCTCGTGGCCTTGAGCCTGCTCTGTGGTTGGTAGGTGGCAACTGCCTGTCCCTAGGCAGATCTATGTTTAACGTTGGTTAGAGGGGAGATGCTCATGTTTCTTGTCTTGCCTATGTTTGAGTTGGCGGAGTGGAGGTGAATGTCTCATGTTTCACTTTCACCCCAACCTAGTTTCTCTGAGGCTTTCAAGATTGTAAAAATTCCTGTTTGTTGGTGGAAGGATTCTTGCATCTTTTTTTCATAAACTTTGGAAAGCACCCAGATGAAGAGTGAGGCTTGGTATAAATGAATCTTGATACCTTCTGCAGCTTTGCAAAGCCCCAACTTTGCGTGTGTTTAATTATAACACGTTAAAAAATGAAGGAGGATCTTAGGGTGCTTTATGTGTGTGATGGTGTTATTGCTGCACTTCAGAAAAATGCCCGACAAACAGGCCAACTTCTAAGAGCTGTGTATCCTCAGTGATTGCAATTAACCACTTAGATTTGAATTGTGACCATCTTAAATTTCAGTGTTTTGAAAGCCTGGCAGTTATGACACTATTGAAAGGAATGAAATACAGCAAATGAAATGATTACGAAGTTCAAACATCTTACTGTGCTGCTGGAATAACTTCTTGTAGATTTAGCAGAAGTTCTGTAGCCTGCTCCATTTTTTTCCATGTGCTTTGAGATGTTTTCATAAAGGCAATTACCATCTTGTATACGTGAAAACCTGTTTCTCAGACCTTTACAGAAGATTTGAAGGCAAGCTCTGAAGTGAGGATTTTGCCTTAGTAAATTGTCTTGGATGGAGTTCACGTGTTTACATTTCATAAGCAGCTGCAAGAAGTTGTGTTGGCATCGGTGGAACCGAGAACTTGTTGGATCTGCCTGGGAGATGGAGTGAGCCCTGTGCCGGGTGCTGTCCTCACCATTTATCATGTTGCTCTCTTACATCTGTCCATTTATCTGTGATGATTATCTTAACTTACAGAATGCCTTCAGTTAACCTGCTGTGTAGGGACAAACCCAGGTTCCTAGTAGTGAAATGGATATATTTCACAGGGCTGACAAACCCCCATGTGGTAAGTGTTAGACTTCTCATGCACTTCTAAAACGTTTTAAAACGATTAATAAGAGTGCTTGACGACTTTGTGAAGATGTGTAACATGTACCTTTTAAAAGCTGGTCTTGTAAAACTTCCCTTAAATACCGTACTTCCTTCAGTTCTTTCTGTTTAAAATGAGTAAATTGACCTGACTGTGAGCAGGGTGAAGTATGGAACCAGAAAGATGGCTTCGAAATCACACTTGCTGATAACGTAGAAAGGTGATGTAAAGTTTTAAGTATTTATTTTTAAAATTCAGTCACAGACAAAGGTATGTTTTTCTCTGCTCCCAGCATGGTGGGCTCTCTGATGGGTTGTTTTTTTTGGTCCAAATAGTCTTGCTGAGAACGCAGCCATGTTATTACCAGTGAGAGCAGTTGTTACTTTAAGCATGAGATGACTGGCGTCCTTTGTGCAGAGTATTTCATTGATGTACAACTTGGACTCAAGCCACAAGGAGCTGGAGATGGCAGCTGCTGATTTGGGAGTCTGTTTATTGACTTTAATCAGAGTTTTGCCTGTCCTGCTCTCAATATAATCATTTTTGCAGAGGACTTGGCTCACCAGTGAGTTGTCAAACGTCTCTTCTTTCATATTTGTATAACTTGATGCAGGCACGGGATAGATGTTAGCTGTGAGGTTTCCTTCTGGCACTGGTCTGACCTTGGACTCCAATTTGGTTGGTGGTGGAAACTGACAGCTCTGCTGTGAGGAACCAGCCTTAAACTTCGGGAAAATAAAATACTTGGTCCTCACAGCTGGGCTGACTGCTGGGGTTGGGGGTTTTATTTCTGTCAGACACTGTGAACGCAGGGAAGAACAGTTAACATGAACATGGTAAAAATACTGGCAGTCCTCGATTGTTCTTGTTGGGAAAGCAATGTGTATATCTTGATTTACACACTTCTTGTGTATCTGTATGCATGAACCTGCTGCTTGATTATAGGTGGGGAGCTGTGCATTGAGCTTTTTTTTTTTTTTTTGGCATCTGCTGTGAGGAACTTAGGAAAATACAGCTTGGAAGTCCTGTTGAGAAATGTAAAGGGATGCTATTCTTGATTCTTACCCCAAAATCATGCAGTAAGTAAACTGTCATGTTGGTGAAGCCTAGTTCATTGTAAAGCTTGGAGTGTAGCAAGCTAGGAGGCATCCGCACGCCTGTGTGGTTGTTTTGCAGGGCAAATAGTACTTGTGCTCTGACATCTATCTGCCTACCTGAAATTGCTGTCCCTAATTAGAAAGCATGCATGCTAACAGCCTAGCTACTTCTGTTGGAATGAGGGCTCCCATACATTGCTAACAGTTCCTCTTTGCCCTAAATTCTGTCTTGTTAGCACCTGTGTGACCATGGGGAACCAATGCGTTCAGTGACGTGTGGTTGTCTGTACCAGAACCTCATGCGTAAACACAGGGAATGGAGTTAGAATCATCGAAGGTTGTGGTCAAACTCTCAGGCTAAATTCATGTCAATGTCATATTACAGTGGCTTCAGAAATAGGATGCGCAGCTAAAGTCTGCTTTGCAGGATATGGTATATGCAGCAGTCATTCTGGCCTCATGAGTATTTCAGGCTGTCATGAGCTACAACAAGAAGGTACAGCAGGCTGGAAGCTCTCTTTCGTCCTTAGGAGCAGCTGAAGGAATAAAGGATGAGGTGATAACATTTTCTTTCGTAATTTTCTTCATTTTCTATTCTCAAAGGTTTGCTCTTGTCATTTTCCCTTGTGTGACAGTTCACTTTTCATTGATAAGATTTATAAAGCTTTAAAAAAGGGAAAAAAAAAAAGATAACAGTACAGTATTTGACACATTCTTCTGAAACACGTATCCTCAACTTTTGGAGTGACAGCAAATGAGGTCTGAAAGCTAAGTTTGGCTTGATGGTTGCTAACAGAAAACACGTGTATTTCCTTTTTTTCTTTTTTTTAAAGGCTCCACCCACATAAAGCATGATCACTGTCTTGCTGTGATCGCTCGAGTGTTCTGGCTAATGAGCACAGAGGTATTTGGGATAGAAAGGCGGCTGAAATTAGAAAATACCAGTGGTAACAATATTTTATAGAGAGCATTTATGCTCCAGAAGAATAGATGACAGTCTGTAACTCTGACACAAATACGTGGGGTGTAAGTGCCTCTGTATAAATTAACGTGCTTTCAGCATTTGCAATCTAAGTGGTGTTTTTTATTCCAAGCAATTTATTGTAAACTTCCTATTTTAAGCAGTCCTTTGTTTTACCCTGGGCTTTGACTTTTATGTGAAAGGAAAATATCAGAAGGCTTTCATACGTGCTTTTTGCTTCCTGCTGAGGTTATTAATGAAGAGCAGTAAAACTGCTGACTAACACCGCCCGTACCGCGGGAGGTGTGAGGGCTGAGAGAACAGATGCAGCAGCACCTCTGGAGCAAGAGTATTTGTAAGTTAAACTTGGCTTCGATCTTGAACAATTCCTGCTATAAATGTGCTTCTTAGGAGGAAAATAAAATCAGAAAACACTTTTATTTTGCTGCGCTGAGTACAAAGAGGGAACTGCAGTATGGCTGCAGCGAGAGAAAACTTGTACTTAATGTTACTGAATTAACTGATACCCTCTCAGTGGAAATCGCTCACATCCTGCTGGCCAACAGTGAAATGATGTCATTCTGTGTAGCTTTGCCCACGTTGTTTTTCTTACAGTTGAAATGGAAGTAATTTGCCTGTCGTGAATGCAGTGCACACAACACTGTGTGTAACTCGGGCTTTCCCGATGGTACCCACTACTGTACATCTGCCACGGGAGGCCTGATACAGCACTGCTCACTCCTGAGAGCAGTCAGGTGTGGAAGCCAAGGCTCCAGGATGGATCGAACTTTTTGCCTGTCAGTGTGAATTTATCCACTGTTTATTTCAGACATTTGTTATTTTAATTGTAGAGCTCTGAAACTTTTATGTCAATGGGAGTCTCAGTTGAATTCCATAGGTTTTGCATCAGACTTGTAAATCAGTTTTAGTGGTCACGCACTGGAAGAGAACTGGGACGTGCTATGTGAATGTGTATGTGATTAGAACATGCTGGGTTTGTTACCAGACTCACTTTTTTTGTGGAGTAATTGGTCAGGCTGAAAAAGTGGCTTATCATACCAAAATGATGAACCTCCTAGAAACTCACATGGGGCTTGTGGGAACAGTTTACACTTACATATCCTTAATTACACCCAAACTGGTTTTGTCAGTGAAGTTATTTTACTGTGTGGTGAATCATCCTTCCGGCAAAAGTACTGATATCTTAATAAGAAGACTGAAGCCCCTTTGTAAAGAAACTTGTCTCGTTTCAAGCAGTTGTGTGGATGTTCCAGCACTCTGATTGCTGGGAGGTTTGGGGCATTCAGACGAGGGCTGAGGTTTGCTTCTGCCGCTGTCTGATGCTGTGGTGCAGTGGTATCACACATTATGGTGGATGTGTAGCAAGGATTCAGCAGAACAGCTGAACCCCACCCCTTACGGGGCTAAAAGTAAACCGCAGCCACGTGTGGTAAGTAGCACTGTCTGCGAAGTCACCACGTGGAGGTTTTATACTTCCATCCTTTTTCTCCTAGGTGGCATGTTGTGCTACACGATGCTGGTTTTGCAGTAAGGACTTGAGACTAATTCAGCCCGTCCTTGGAGGCAGTGACCCTTTCAC